AATATTTGGAAGTTCAGCAAAAGCAAGAAGAGCATCATGATTGGAACACTGGCTGCAGCAGTGTATCATGTTCGGAAGACCAGAAATTCTGTCTAGCATGGAAGGAAATTGGTCAGTGAGGAGGTATTGGTGGAACAAATAAAGAAGGAGGTGAGATGGAGGATTGGAGGATGCTGTAAAAAGGTTAGGTAGACTGAAAAATTGTATATGGATAGACTAGGAATTCTTGTATAGTTGGTTTGTTTAGTTGGTTTGGTTACAAAGGATGTAATAGATGAGATAGGATGCAAACGGAGTGATGATTTGAGAAGTTAATACATATTAACCTTTCATCAAAAAAAGACAACGCAAATTTTTTCTGTTCTAATTAAGAACCCGATTGTGAGATGAAAGAACTTCTTTTGTAAAAAAAAAAAATCTACCCCAATAGACTCCATTTAAATGTAGGTAAAACCCCGCCCTTACAACCCCTAAGAAACGTAAACCATTGTAACTGTCAAATTAATCTGAGTTGAATTAGCAATCCATTCTTGTTTTTTCCCATGTATACATATTTATTTAGGAAAATGATACTTTTAGTGAAATAATATAGTGAGAAAACATAGTGACTGTGTACTCCCTATTTTGTTATCACTTTGCCGTTAAAATTTTTTCTTTTCCTCTAAAATTATCCTTTTCTCTTTAATTATTACAGACACATAAGTCACTATGTATTTTCACTATTTTTTCTCACTATCTTTATCATTGTTCATTTATTTATATATCTTTAAAGTCCCTTTTCATTAACATTCAATCCCTTCAAGATTTGTAAATTAGAAAAGCACCCAAGATAACGTGCAACCCAACCACCATGTCACTAGTCCATTTTGGTACATATAAGATACACAGTAATCTATTCTTAATTAGGAAACTTGCTATTATTTGGTGGAAAATCTCTAACTTTTTTATTCCGTTTGCATAGAATCTACTTGTCGAGATATATCAGATTGCGACAATCATCTCCGTAGTTACGTTTCTTCATCAAATTTAAGGTGGAATTCACTATCCACCAGCCCTTCCATTGTTACATGATGAAGATGAACATGAACCCTTACTAGTCTTTCCCGATTCAGCTTGCATCATTTGATTTGTATATTACCACCATTTTTAGGTACAGTTCTAATGTGCTAAGGAAATTGCCAATTCAAGTAAAAACAAAGGCCTAAAAGTACTTACAAGTCCCAATTATTGTTTCTACCGGGATCGAGTACTCGATTCAAACACTTGCGCTTATGGGGAAATCCAAAGTTACAAAATTGATGGATGTTCCAGCTGCTAGTGAAGTAGCAACAGTCTTCGCCACAAAAGGTCATTAGAGGTGAAGATCAAAAGAAGGTTCTATCTTCACGAAGTTGTTGTTGAGTTTGGTTGTGATATAAAGAATCTCACTAGAGATGCATAATTGTTATTGTGTGTATCCTCATAGAGACAAGTTAAACTTACTAACAATATATATAGTTAGACTTTACATGACTTATATTATATTTAAATAATCTTTGTCTTGCACTATATATATATATATATTCTTTTTTCTTTCATTGTGTTTAAACAAGGTTTAGGAACAAAACTCTAACTATTTTTGAGCCAAAAAAAAAACCACTATGGATTAATTTTTAGTGGATATATATATATATATGTATATATATAAATATATATATGTATATAAAATATTTTGAGGAAAATGAAAGATTTTATTAATTTGTTGACAAAGTGCCCAAAATGCATTGAGGATAAAGTAGGTATTGAATCAAATATTTCTCAAAATCTCGTTTACATTTTGTATCTTTGAGGTAGACTGTATGCAAAAATGTTAAAATGATGGTTCACCCAATAACTTTTATGTGTGATTAAAGGTGCAAAACGAGTTTTCGCTATTAACTGAGATTAACCCCAGTTTGGCAAATCTTCAATTTCTTCCATAGATTATCGATGAAGAGTAACCAACTATTGTGAAGTGATTCATTCCAATTATTATTGATCATAAAATTCTCTTTCGTATCATTTATTGCTATTGTCAAAATCTAATTAACATTTAGTTGATTTTAGATTACATACTAATCCAGCTCCTTTTCTAATGTTCTATACTGTCACGAGTACTTTATCAATTATAATATAGGGATCCTAGGTACACATAACAATGTGTACCTAGTTTGAAATACACGCGCCCACAATCTCAAAAATTCTAAAACTACTATTTATTATCCCTTTTTTATGGGATTTTTTATTTCCAAATTTCCATAAACAATTATTCACCCTAATTATCTACCATTTATGATATCATTCCATCCATTCTATCTGCAACCATAATCTCAGATATTTTTCATTTTGCATCATTTTGATATACCAAATTCTCACGTCGACAGTACTCTTGGAGATGAAATCAAATTCGTGTAGCCAAAATTGGGATTTTTCATCACGTTGCTGAGTATTACGGTAAAAAATCATGTTATTCATCCCTTTTGTGTTGTTGTTCCCAAAATCTACTCTTAAAAATATAAATTTGTCCGCTAAATCTTGTTTGGAATTCTCAAAATCTTTGTTTCGCTATTCAGATTTGCTAGTTCGAGCTCGTTCGATAAATCGTTGAAGGTTTATGGATTCAGATTTGTTGTGAAAAAGAACAAAATTCAAATTTGGTGAATCGCCGAAGGCTTATGGATTCAGATCTGTTGTGTAAATAAGAAAAGATTAATAGATCTAGGTATTGTTCATTAGTTTAATGTCATTATTCATCTTTAAAACATGTTAGTTTATCGATGTTCTAGTCTTTGTCATCGATTTGTAGTTGATTTCAGAAAATATTAACAGATCTGGCATTATTCATCATCTTGGTATCATTATTCATCGTTAATGTGTGGTTATTTTAGTCATGTTTTCTTCTTCTGTGAAATATTATTCATCATTCATCATCGATTAATGATGTTAGTTCATCAATTTCTTAGTTTGTTTCATCGATCTGTGGTTAATTTTGGAAAAAATTAATAGATCTAGGCTTTGTTTATCAGTTTAATATCATTATTCATGTTTAAAACATGTTAGTTCATCGATGTTCTAGTCTTGTTCACCGATTTGTGGTTGATTTTGGAAATCAGATTTTTACATCATTATCTATTTCTGGCGGTTATTCATCATCTTGATATCATTATTCATCATCAATTTTGGGTTATTTTAGTCATTTTTTTTCTTCTGGTGAAATATTTATTCATCTTGTATTCTAGTTATTCATTATTTTCGCTTAGTTATTCATTAAAGTACAATTATTAATCTTGTAAAACTACAACTATTCTTCATTGTAATATTGTTATTCATTTAGGATGAGATCATTATTCTACAGGTTTGCATCGTTATTCATTTTTGTGAATATAATTATTCATTACAAAATTTAAATTTATTCGTCCATAACGTTGTCACTATAAGAACATCATTGTTCATCACATCCATAACGTTGATATTATAAGCACCAAAAGTCTTTTCCTCATAGTTGAAACATCATCCAATAAGCACATCATCTGTTATTCATCAATAAGAACTTGTTATTCATTACTTAAAATAAAATAATCATCGTAAATCTGAACAAGATGATACACCATCTGCCAAAAAATAACAATGAAATTCCTGTTCATCAGAAACCATATATTGCGCATTACCTTACGCATGTATATTCACCAATAAAACGAATACACATTGATCCTCTTTCAATAATTGTATAACAGTATTCATTGTCTAAACGTTGGTTATTCATTACTGAAAAAATACACATTGATTCTTCGTATTCATAAGTCTCAATGATTAACCATAGTCAATTTTATTAAAATAAAATCTATCGTTATAAAAAAAATTATCTCATGATAAGCAAAAAAAAAAGGTTTAAAATTAAACGTGTGTCAAAAAAAAAGGGATAAGATCAGGGAGTTAAATACCAAAAGAAAGAGGATAAAATTATGGGGATTAAATACCAAAAAAATGGGGATAAAATTGGGTAATTAAATGCGCGTGTGGGAACTAAAAATCAGGACTAAGATGATCACTTTTTTTCCCAAATTTGTGATACACGCACTGCCTAGGTACACCTTGCAAGGAGCTTAATATTATTTGTTGTACTTTATCACTCCGTTAATAAGTAATCGTCCTAAGTTGGTCCTTAGTCATGTTAATTGGAAGAATTGTTTTGTAATAAAGTCCATAGTAATATAGTGTAGTGTTATATTTTCCCCCCTGTTAGGCAGTTCCTGCAATTCTATTTTGCTAACAAAAAAATAAAAAAAAATAAAAAAACCTATAATTAATTAGTAAGTGATGAACAGCACCAGTTGGAAGCAATTTTCGGTAGTTTCTTTAAAGATTTACGTTTTCTTTGATTGATATTCAGGGACTGAAATTTTGGCGAAATTAACAATTTTGACACTTCAAAATCTGCTATTCTTATTTCAACTTTATTGAAATTGGCCATATCATAAGATACTGAAATAAATACTAGGAATATAGAAATTTTTTTTTTTGGTAAAAGGTAAAATTATATTAATCACCAAAACTGACTTCTTTGCTTTACAACTGTTCCCTCACCCTATTTACATCAACTCCTTTCATAATTCTGTATATATCGTATACTGAGTCTGTCTAAATAACATAGATACGATTTCTAGTAATATAATTTTTGAGGTATATATTTTTCAAAACAAAGATTCAACAATTAAATTCTTATTCCATGAGTTTAATTTCCGGAGAAAAAAAAAAGAAAAGGAAAAAGTTAAAATCAGCAGATTCCTTTCTGGAAGTTATAAACAACGCCGACATAAGTAGCTTTTCCGAAAATTTATATGGAAAAGAAATCCCTCTATAAATATATAGTATAAACGACTACCCAGACTCTTGTTCTTTATTCACGCAATTCCAGATTATCTCTCTTCAGTGCTTATTACTCTTTTGAATTCTGTAGAGTTTTCTTCTCAATTAATCCAACAATGGAGTGTTGGAAAAAACTAAGGAAATTAGGGCAAGGGTCTTTCGGCACCGTTTTCCAGGCTTGTAAGGATTCGTCCTCTTTTTCTTCATCATCAATAATGGCGGCAGTTAAATCAGCAGAATGCACGCTTCGTAACCCTATTACTTCTCTAAAAGAAGAAGCTAAATTTCTGGATAAATTGAACGGTACGCCTAATGTCGTTCAGTGTTTCGGAGAAGATATCAGCATAGAAGATAATGGAAAAGTGGTACATAATCTGCTCCTTGAACTTGCTTTAGGAAGCCTTTATGATATGATCAAGATCACGAAAAAATGCGGAAAACCCATGACAGAAACCTACGTCGCGTGTTACGCAAGCATGCTGCTCAAAGGGCTTGTCGCTATTCATTCTAAGGGGATTGTTCATTGTGATTTGAAGCCCGGAAACATTCTACTGTTTCCTGTCCATGGTACTGAACTCGGCATACTGAAAATCGCGGATTTCGGGAGAGCGAGATGGGTGTGGGAGGAGGAAGAAGAGCAGGTTGCGGATGGAACAAGTTACAGCAGGACAACTCTGAATTACGCCTCGCCGGAATCGGTGTCTTATGGCTTACACGGGACTTGTACGGATATCTGGTCCTTCGGGTGCATAGTTGCGGAGATGCTTACCGGAAAAAGGGTGTGGGATTCCAGAGATGAGGAAGAGCTGATCCATATGATATTATATGATGGTTTCTATAGGCCACACGGATTATCAGATAATGGAGCAGATTTCTTATCGAAGTGTCTGGATAGAGATCCAGCGCAAAGGTGGTTGGCTTCAGATTTACTGAAACATCCTTTCATCATCGACAATTTGAAGATCATATCTGAAACTCCCGGCTACGATATGAGTATCTTGGACCGAAATAGCAGCACTCAGAAAAATCCTTTTGGAGAGTGTGGTTGGGTTTCCACAAGGCATCTGTTCTCTAAATGGATGGTGGAGGCTTTACAGAAACAAGAACGCGACCGAAAGCGGCAGAAACGGCGAGAGCTCCGGTTCCAACCTTATACGGCGCAACAGAGTCGCCAAGCTTTTCAATTCCTTGTGGAGCAGCATCAGGGTATAACCTTGTGCAACACATTCCTTGTCCGGGAGCCAAAGCATGGAAGTAATTTCCATCAAGTGTGAGTCGCAGAATCAGTACTAGTGTATATGTATATAAAAGCCTCAAGAATCAGAGTTACATTCTGTAGTTAAGAGATTCTGATACGATCTTTGAATTGATTTCCTTAATTAATGCTTCTAATGCATATCATCAATTTGTAAGTTTCTATAATGTTTATAATCCAGATTATTCTAATCGAACCAGATCCTTTTGATGGATACAAGCAGGAGTATGATAAATAGTCCATTACTTCTAAAATTGAAAGGACTAATTCTTCTGATCTGATCAAATGAATTTACACAGAATACTTACATATAAAGAGCCAGTCTGAACTCTTTCCACAAGTATAAGTTATGAAGCTTTAAGTGTCTCAAACACCAAAGCCAGCTAACAAGGCCACAATCTTTTCACTTTTATTAAGCAAATGACGACCTTTTTTTTTTTGGGAAATCGGTACATGTATATTAATTAAAGATACATAAACTATTACATCTCATTCTATTATAAGCTAATTTATAAGCTAAACTAATACATATATGCGCAGAATAAAATTAGAGTTTAAGAGCCACGATTGCTCAATACAACTACCAATATCAGGCAGGGGCCGAATCAAGTGTCTTAAAGTGTAAGAACTTAAATGAAGATGAATGTATAATATCATCATTCCAATACGGAACTGCAGGGGCAAGAATCCATACAATCAAACTATATACACGGATACTTATGAAGATAAGCTAAGTTTATGGCATCTAATTCATCAGGATGACCATTAAAAAGGTCCATGGAATTTGTTCCCAATGACTTAATAACAGGTTACTACCAGATTAGATTGTTGCTGCTGGTAGGAGATTCATAGGAATGACCGGAAATGAAAATTCCTCCTGATTCATCTTGTTCCCAGTAAACTTCTATCATCATGCCTTCTGGATTTTCTTCAGTTTCCTTTCCTGGGATTTTAACAAATCTTGCCCCTTTTGGTACCTGTACAATGGCATAAAAGTAAATAGCAATGTTCCCTATAATTTAATCAAGCGGTTCAATGAGTGCCAATACAATCATTCCAAATGACATGTATATTCTTGACATTTCACAAGATTGCCATTACGGTTCTCATATTTGGAAATAATATGACCTACAAGTACAGTAGGGAGTTACGTACTTAAATTGACATGCCTGTGTCCAAAGTTAAGAGTCTCAAAACTCTCTTCAAGTATGTTGGCTTCCTATTCTGCTTTCTTGGCAATATTCAAAAAGCCTTCTTCAAGAGTTGTAAGGCCAAGCTGGATGTCTGAGATTCCGAATTCACCCTCTCTTGCTTAAGGCTCGGCATAAAATTTCAGTAACACAGTTGACATTTGAATGAAGGAAACTTTCAAGTTTTCAGATTTGTTTTTCAGCTTCATTCAATTGTGCACATTTATGGAATTCCCTTTGTCTTGGTACTCATAATTAATGGAGAAGAAAAGATTAAGACAGAATTTTGAACAACTTAATTATTCCTATGGCTGACTCTGCATCACGTTGTTTGAGTAAAACAGCATTTTTACAAATTTTAAACATCTACGCAGGAAGTCTGTCTATCTATTATGAAACTTTTCATCACTTCTACTTGTCTTGGACAAATGGTGTCTTCTCTGGTCGGAGTTAAATCATTAGAATTAGAAAATCTTATGGTAGTAACAAACCAGTTCCAAAATTTGATTTCAACCCTTATTGGAGTCCCAATGCATTGAAGCTTTGCTTTTGCCAAAATCCCAATTCGATCACTTAATGTTCAGCTTCCTCCGTTGAATGAGTAGTCAATAATAGCACGCTTCTCCACATTTTTCAATTATGTCCCAAACCAGTCTTCGAGTTATTGGATGTTTCTAGTGTTGACAAAAAGTCAGCATGGATGTTTCTTTGATAAATACTAGATAACGAACGAAGACAGGCAATGCTATTATGGTCTGCTTATCGATTCATCTGGAATAATCAACTTTGGTTCGCCAATAAGGGCAATAGCGATACTTAGGGGGCGTTTGATTTGTTTATAGGTTTTACTATGGGATCATATTTGATAATAGGAAGGGGTTATGCCATATAGTTGTTTAGTTTATAATTAGCTTAATGTATCATTCTATTTTTTGAATTACATTTATTGAATTAATGGTACAAAAATTTGACAATTAATTTACAAAGTTAATAAATCTTTTTATTAAATCAATTTGAATAATTTAGATTATGATTTTATTTTTTTAAAAATAATAAGTTTGATTGAGACCCAATATCTCTTATTTCAATATAAATTTAATGCAGATATACAAATTCTAGAATTATTCTCAATTCGAATCATATGTTAATAAATTTAAAATTTTTATTTAATGGTGTTCGTGATTTAAATTTGATTCAAAATTTCAAATAAAGACTTGAGCTTATAATTAAGAGAAATTTTTTTTAATGATATAATAATAAGGTTATACACAATATAATACAATGACAAAACAAAAGATTGAAGAAAAAGAAAGTTACAAAATTAGGAATCAAATCAAAACTCCATCCCTTTGAGTTTTTATTTTAAGTTCAAATTGTACTAAAAGTGAAATATCAAACTGGACAATAATTTTGGGATAGAGTGAGTACTTATTTTTAAAAAATTTGAAAAAAATTGTATAAGGGGCGGTGGAAGTAACTAAATTATTAAAAGGGGTATATCTTTCACATAATTTTTAAGAAGTGCAGTAAATAATTTCTTAAAAATTATGAAAGAAGACTATGTGTAATGACAGGATCATCCTCCATCATACTAGAAAGCGGCAAGCTTGATTTTCAGTTCTTGCCATACGGGGTAAAACTTTCAAATGAGGTTGAATGAGTGGATACATCCACTAGTTTGCTAATTCATTCCAAAGTTTTAAAATTACTCAATTACATCCCAAGATTATCAAAATTGGACAAATTCATCCTATGACTTGCAAAACTACAAACATAACATGATATAACAGGTAAAAATTTCTTGGGTCTCATATTTATTAGTTTTGTTCTTATTTTCTATACTTTTTTGTCATTTTTCAGTTCATTAAAAAACAAACAAAGTTTCTAAATAAAAAAAAAGAAAAAACATTAATAAAAAAGAATTCATTCGTCACAAATGAAATAACTTACAATTTTGAATAAACTCAAAATTAATTAATTTTTGTTTTTGCTTGTTCATTGGTTGTTCTTTTGTGTTTTTGCTTCCATTGCCGACATGTTATGGCCTAATATGCCTGTTCAAAGTCTGTTTTTTGTTTTTGCTTTTCTTGGGACCTCCTCCTTTTTCTTTTATTTACCATCAGGTTTTATTTTTGCAACAATGCTTAGCAAGTTTTAATAACATATACAAATTTTTTGCTTCTGAAATTTTGACGTACCTTCACAGTTGCTGTTGGATGTCACTGAAGCTCTTAGAATGATTAAATTGCAAGTGATAAAAATTGACTTGGTTAACGAATAGGGTCTTGCAGCCTTAACAAATTATGTTCTTTAATTGATTGTAATGTTAGCCAACTCTTGTTTGAAAGCTTTTATAGCTATAATTGGTGTACTTTAGTATGACTTCTTAGTTTTGATTTTCTGGAAGTGAGGCGTTTTGTATTGCATGCTTGAAGTTGCAAGTTTTCTTCCTTACCGTTGTGATGTGGAAAATTATCAAAAAAGAAAATTTTCTTCTTTGTCTCAATTTATCTCTATATGGTCAGGAAGAGGCATCTTTAGCTGCACATTTCACGCTTATAATTGTTGAACGTATATTTTAAAGAAAAGTCTAGAATCTGAGGTGCATATTATATGAATGTTTTATTTTTATTTTAGTTTCTTGCAGTAGCATAACTTCTCAGTTTAGTTCCAACAAGAGGTTCGAATATGAAATTTCGATTTTATACCAAGTTCATCCTAGCTAATGTACTTATAATTCTATGTCGGGAAGAGAAGTTGAACAATCGTTGAAAGCCTTTTTTTGTACCGCTATAATCCATGGAAATTATTATGTAAATATTTTGTACTGCTATAAATAAAGCTTCTAAATTTGATGACAAATTCATGACAACTAATATTAGTCTGTTGTAAAGTTATTGTTGCATGAAGCTGTATAAATTCACGATGTGTTACGTGTTTTATTCTTGGTACGAAAGAAAATTAACAATGAATTTAATATTTTCTTTGTCAGAAGTGCTTTCTGTTGAGTTCTGTAAACTGCTTTGAGGTTCAATCATTTGGTTAAAAATGGCAACTTCCTCAATTTTATCCATCAGCAAGCAAGTGTTTTAATTCTTCTTCTATACTTGTTTTGATTTCTGTTTTCTGTGTGCTTATTTATTTGCTGCAAAGGTAGTTTGCATTACAATGTTTGGACACTTCATTTTGACCTGTGCTGTTCATTGTAATTATCCTTTTTTTTTTGTTCTCAAAGTATTGTTAAGTGCATTTCGTTTCATTTTGATCTCTACTGTTCGTTGTAGTTATCTTTTTTTCTTTTTTATTCCAAAGTATTGTTAGGTGTATTTAATAATAATGGCGGGTAAAAGAAAATATAATCATGTTCAACAACGTACTCATGTAAGAAATAGTCAACGAACTGAACGTAGACGCAGAGGAATAGCTATAGGCCAAATTGATGATGATCCTTTAAAATGCATTGTAAATACTCCTGATTTGTTGGCTGATGTAGCGGATTGTAAGTTTTGTGGTGCGAAGTCTTTGTATTCTGAAAGGCCAGGTTTTTGTTGTTCCTCTGGGGAGGTAAAATTACGGGAGACAGTGATGCCTTTGCCATTAATACAATTATATACAAGCAGTTCTGAAGAATGTAAACATTTTCAGGCTTGTATTCGAAGCTATAACAATGTGTTTGCACTTACATCGTTAGGTGTGCATTATGATAAATTATTAGCTAGAAGAGATCATGGAATTTATAGTTTTCGTGTCCAGGGTCAGCTTTATCATTTCATGGATGAGTTAATACCATCAATTGGTCATAAACCAATAAATCTTCAACTATATTTTT